CGGCCTGGCAGCCGACGATCGCGGCGCGGTCGGCGTGGTAACGGCGCCGGCAGACGACGCGCCTCCACGCCGCCTGCAGGGTGACCGCCGCGCTCCTCGTGCACTCGTACCGACACCTCTCGACTCTCCCCAGCATAGTCGCTCGCCAGCGTCTCTGCAGGGTGAGCGTGGCTCGCACCAGCCGTGCGTAGCGCCTTCTCGCGAGGCATCCCCGCGCGCACGCCTGCGCTCTCACCACGCGTCCATAGTACTCGCGATACCGCCGTCTCTGCAAGTGACCCCTGGTGGCTGCCTGTAGCGACACGACCGCCGCGCGCGTCCTCGCGTATTCGGCGCGCGACCGCGCCGTCAGCCAGGCGGCACGCCATCTTGCCTGAAGGACGACGGCGGCAGCTCGGAGGCGGAGGTAGGAGCGTCGCTGCAGACAAGCCCGGACGCGGGCCTGCACGGTGACGACGCACGCGCGCTGCCGGTGGTAGCGACGCCGCGCCGCCAACATGCGCGCGTACGACTGCAGCACGACGGCCGCCGACCTCGCCCGCGCGAACCCGCGACGCTGATCCTTCGCCAGCAGCGTCGCCCGCCAGTACGTCTGGATGGTCGACGTGGCCGAGCGCAGGCGACGATATCGCGTGCGGGCGAGGAATCCACGCGCACACGCGTGCATCGCCACGGCGGCGCGACATTGCCGCGCGTACGCACGCGCGCAGAGGAAGCGTCTGACGGTTGCCTGGGCGATGACTACGCTTCGTCTCGTTAGCAGGTACGCGTCCCGCTGCATCCGCCCAGCGAGCACGGCCCTCCAGCAAACCTGCAGTGTAGTAGCAGCACGCCGAAGCCGATGGTAGCGCTCCCTGGCGGCTCGGCCTCTCACGCACGCCTGGACGACGACGACGCATCGCAGGTGCTCCTTGTAGCGCCTCCTCTGCAGGTGCCCCCTGGTGGCGGCCTGCAGCGTCAGAACGGCGGCGCGCGTAGTGCGGTACTCGTGCAGGCACGTGCGACGAGCGCGAGCGGCGCGGTACCTCTCCTGGATGATGCGTATCGCGCGCAGCCTCTCGTCGCGGCGTCGGCGCGCGATGCGCCCGCGCGCGCACGCCTGCATCGTGATCGCGGCACGTCTACGTCTCACGTAGTTCGCTCGCTGCGCCCACCCTCGCGCTGCGGCCTGCAGCAGCGTAGCGGCAGCCCTCTCCTTCAGGTACTTGGCGCGACACGCACGCGCCTCCAGGCTCGCACGCAGTCTCCTCTGCAGCACCAGCACCGCCCGCATCCTCCTCCCGCGCTCCCGCCGTGCGAGCCACCTCCTCACGCACGCCTGCGCTGACACGACGCGCGCACGCTCCGCCTGGTACGCCCGTCTTGCCGCCCAGCCTCGGTACGCGGCCTGTATCCGCAACGCCGCCCGCTTCATCGCAGCATAGCGATTGTGCTGCCGCCTACAGGCGAGCGTCGCCCGCAGCCGTCGCTGCAGGACCGCCGCCGCCCGTCGCCGCTGTTCGTACTCCGCTCTCGCGCGGCGCCCCCTAACGTGCGCCTGCGCGATCGTGGCCGCCCGCCGCAGTCGCAGGTAGCTCGCACGCTGCGCGCGGCACCGCCAGCCGGCCTGCAGCGTCACCGCGGCGCGCCTCGTCGCGAGGTACTCGTCGCGCTGCCTCCTGGCGGTGAGCCGGGCGCGCAGCCTCCACTGGAGCACGGCGACGGCGCGAGCGCGCGCATCCCGCTCGCGGCGCGCCCGCCACGCGCGGTAGCCGCTCTGGATCGTCATGGTGGCCGCGCGTGCGGCGAGGAAACGCGTGCGCTCACGCCGCATCCTGTACGCTGCCTGCAGGGCAACCGCCGCCCGCCGCGTGTCCCGGTAGTGCTCTCTCTGGCGCCGTGCCAGCTGGTAGGCGCGCGTCCGCTGTTGGATCGTGCGTATCGCCCAGCACCTTTTGGAGGATTTTCGTCTCGCTAGCATCCCTCTGAGGTAGGACTGCACACAGACGGTTGCAGACAGAAGCTGTAGGTAATGTCGTCTAGTAGTGAACCCTCTCCAAGCTGACTGTATGGCAATAGCTGCTTTAAGTTGTAGGTACTGCCGTCTTGCAATATAGCCTCTCCATGTAGCCTGTATGGCAATAGCTGATTTTAGTTTCAGGTACTGCTGTCTTGCAATGTAGCCTCTCCATGTAGCCTGTATGGCAATAGCTGCTTTGTACTGTAGGTAATTTCGTCTAGCAGTGAACCCTCTCCAAGCTGACTGTATGGCAATAGCCGCCTTTAGCTGTAGGTACTGCTGTCTTGCAATGTAGCCTCTCCAGGCAGCTTGCAAGGTGATGGCAGCACCTCTCATGACAGCGTAGTGACGCGTCTGCACGCGGCACAGTACATTAGCCCTGCTACGACGCTGCAACGCAACCGCCGCACGCCGCAGCTGAGTGTAGCTGCTTCTTGCTCGGTGGCGCCTCACAGCGGCCTGGATCGTAACCACCGCGCTTCTCTTCGCCCCGTAGCTTCGCTGTGCGAGCCGCGATCTCCACCAAGCCTGCATGCGAACAACAGAGCATCTCGTTTCGATGTAGTGCAGCCTGACGACGCGGGCTTGTAGGCGTGCCCGGTAGCGGGCCTGGATAATGCGTGCGGCAGCGTGCATCCGCTGTACGCGGATTCGAATGTGACGCCCCCTGATGGCTGATTGCAGAAGCAAGGTAGATGTGCGAAGTTTTCTGTATCGGCGTTGAACGAGGAAGCATCTGACATGTGCCTGCCGTAAGAAAAACGTTCAACATAAGTCATAATTTTAATAATTTTTTGTGATGTCATCAAAAGTGGTGTCAATGAGAGCTTCATCCAATATTGGCGCTAATATAAATATTAATGCTTGGGAATCTCAGACAAATGAGAATTGCTAACTGGATCTTAAATTTTGAATAAAAATCAGCACATTGCATGATTATACTCGCCTTTAACAATTGAAACAAACGTGTAATTACCACGAACAAGAAGGATAGGGCCAGCAGTATGGGGTGGGGGGTGGGGGCAGATTAGCATCCAGAGCTTCAGCACGACAGCATACATTCAAACCTATATATAAATGTCACTCGTGGGAAACCCCCCCGAAACATCACATATATTGGTTTAATCATGTGCACATACATATATATGTGTGTGGGTGCGTTCTAGAGGTGACAAACACAGGTTTGACTTCAGTTGTCACCTACCTGCAGGACGGTGGCAGCACTGTGCTGTAGTTGCTCCAGCTTCTTGCGTCTCAGAGCTGCTGCGAGGTGTACCGCGTGCACGCCACGCCACCACGTCTGCACGACGACGGCCGCTCGCTGCTGCTGTTGCCGGCGCCTCCTAGCGAGGAATGCACGTACGCATCGCTGAATCAGCACTGCTGCGGTGTGCCTAATCTGTAAGCAGACATGTGTGACGGCGTTGTAGCAAACGTGCTATCGCAGAGAGAAAACTGGATGGGTGAAAAACTCGCTTCGTCTCTCGCTCCCTCCCTACCTCATTCTCCACCCAGACTCCCTCTTTCTCGCCCTTCCTAAGTCAGCCCCCTCTCTACCTCTTATCTTCTTTCCCTTCCCCAGTCACCTCTCCTCTCTTCCTCTCCCTCCTCCCCTTCTTCTCTCGCACCTTCTGTCGCTCGGTTTCCTTCCGGTACCGGTGTCTCCTCCATGCTGTCTGGATGGCCCTTGCCGCATGGATCTCCTCTCTCAGGTCCAGCAGACGTGCACAGAGGAAGGTGACGAGCGTTAGCACAACCTTCTCGTCTGGTATTGTGTTGCACACGTCCGCCACTCGTGTCAGCACCGGCACGCCCCCTAGCTCACCGATCTACGAACACACAATCGAGTAGGATATGGATTATGAATCATGTACGATGATTTAATTGCGAGTTAAATCACGCCAAAACTCACAGATCTACAAATATACCACTGAATAAAATGGTAAGTAACTTATTCTGTAATCTTATGTGTACAAAATAGAAACATTTGTCCTGCCTACTTACTGACTTATCCCCTTGTGAAATGCTGGGTTGCATTAGTGGAACATATATGAAAAGGTGACCTGCTTCCATACCCAAAATAAAATACCAAAGGTATATTTTGCCACCAATCTGATCCGACATTTCCATTTTCATCACACAATTTACCTTTTCAAATGCCAACTTGAGGTTCGCCTTATCATTCATCAATAGCTTTTCATCAACTGGTTTTCCTGTTGCTGGAGAGTATGATATATAATTAGACATAACAGATTTCATTTGAATACAAGATAATTAAAGATTCAGCCATATAATACTATATATACGTAACATCACGTGCAATATCAACCAAACAGAAGCACAGGTTACCGCACCTTACCCAAGCTAATAGATCATGATTGCGGTCACAGTATTTAGAAATCACGGGATGTTCGATGAGTATTTTCACAGTATGAGACCTACTAGGAGAATAGGTGGCCATCAAGAAGGAGTTGCTGAAGCTGTCGTCTGCCTGCACAGCGTTGTCAGCGTGCAGCGACTGCGAGGTGTCAGTGTGAATGGATGACGTGGGAAGCAGCGATGGTTGGTAGTGGTGCACCAGGTAGCAGAGCACACGGCCATCGGCAAATGACACGGTAAAGTTCTCAACCTGTCAGCAAGTGCAATCACCATGTATCATTAATTGCTGTTCTGAAACGGAACTTCTATACAATGATCGTGTAAAACCACGACTTTTCTTAGTCATATTAATTGAGCTTGACTGTGTTGTAACACTGTACCATGTTCTAAGTTAGTCCGTAACACAGTGGTAACGTTCAATATTGTAAGACTGCATCATTGTGTTACAGCATGATGCAAACATCAGGAATACACTGTGACAGGGTAACACAGACACAGTGGCACAATAACAAAACTATTGTGCTGTGGCAGCCTAAGGATGGACATATTGTGCTTAAAGCGATTGAGGTTGTAGCAATGCCGGCATGCACGCACGACAATATATAATACCATTTCTTACCGTAACATCATAGTATGCACAGACTGCCTGACACCACTTGAGCAGAAGACTCAGCTTCTTGCTCGTGAAGTAGAGGTCTGTCTCGTCTGTCACGTGTTGTCGTGGCATCCCTAGCGTGTCACTCACGCCCGTAGTGCTGGCGACCAGGGAAGCCATAGCTGAACGAACAGCCATGTTTTCCTTGAGAAAGCATATCTCCTTCTGCAGCTTGGCTGTATCTATCATCAGTTCAATCTAACATGTAGGAAATAAAGCGTAGAGAAATTACCGTCAACACATTATATATATACACAATATAAATATTAAACTAAGAAGTATTCAAGTAATACCATGGCCATTCACCTGCCAAATTTCAGGAATTGACTGGTTAACGATACAGTAATTTGGCTATATAGTCAAACATGTATATAAGGATCACTCATGCAAAACACGAAAAGTATATAGACAAATGCCTCTTTTATTAATGTGGTAATTAACAGTATAAATGCCACTTAAGGGGACCACAGTGTCTCTACTTTGCAGACAGGTGCCCTCTTCATAGAGGTGGCAGCTACCACGGATTTGACTATAAAAACAAACAGGAGCACATGTATATATATATATTAATTTATTAAACAAAGCCTGAAATATTTTGTGATGCGTGGGACCTACCTGGAAATTGAAGATGAGTTTCCAGAGCAGTGCTAGTGTCTTCTCCCTGTGACCATCAACAATGTCCTTGGTGTTAATGCCATCTGGTGACAATAACGTACAACGGTGAGAAACTTCCTACACTCACAGTTCAATCGCACGTTCATTTGGTGATTACAAGGTGTTTAAGAATAGTTGGGCACACTGGTAGACCTTTTGGAGAAAATGGCGGAAATTCTGGTGGGTACTGGAGCACCAGCCTTTACCATTGGATGTAGGAAATCTGGTACAGACGCGTGGGTAATGCTCTATGTTGTAATGGTACACCAGTCTTAAAAAAACACCAAGGGCCGTAGCTTTTACAATAATGATTAGTACTATTACATCACACGGACTAGTCACAATTTAATCTGCGCATGACAACTAAAATGTTTCTGACAATGTACTCCTAGATTACATGCAATGCATTTGCGATGCCACTGCACCTAAATCATCGAACACATGCTTCCCGCAGCGTGCAGTAGCTGCTAGATGGAGTATAGCGAAGAAACACTCGTGTGTCACTCACCGTAGCAGAGCTGATTACGCTTCATCACAGCTAACGACACGTCAACGTTGCGTATCTTCTGCAGCCGGCTGATGGCGGGAACACGCAGACGCTTCGACAGCGACCAATCACCCGTCAGCAGCTCCATCACGCGGCTATAATATACAAAACGAGATCGCTGGAAACACGGTGGAACATAGCCTCATAGTAATATAACTGGTAACTGATACTGTATACATTCATACAACTATATAGTGTTATTCTGCATATATTCGTTCATAAGTGTATTGACATTGATACGCTAGTACTTAATTACGGGATGTTCTAAAAACAATGTTTAGCAATGACGTACAAACGGGCTTAGCCTGAACGACATATCACCGATATACAAGCAGGAGTGCACCTAACGCGTACGGATGCATTGATACGTAAGTTAGCGAGCGCGCGCGCGTGCAGGCGACGACCGCGCCGCGCGGGACGCTGGAGAACATACGTGAGGCGCAGTCCGTCGCGCAGGTCCGTCGCGACGTTCGTCACGGCGTAGTCAAACTCGTCGAGCGCCGTCTGCTGGTGTGCGATGTCGTAGCCGAGGTGCGCGAGGTGCCGCACGACGTCACCCTCGCCGGCGAGGTACTGCCGCGAGAACTCTACCAGGAGGCTCTTGCTCGCCTGCGCAGCAACGCGACGTCGACAACATATCACGGATTCATCATCGACGGATTTTTCGGATTTGCGCATGCCATTAGGTCGTGATCGCATAATTACAGATTGGGGGTAATTATGTACAATTCTGTAATTTTGGACTTCTGGTCATGCATACTAGGCAGCATGCGTGCGAGTTAAATTCGTTATAGGAACTACATTTCTCTAGTGATATACACATATATATATATATACATTGTAGGGAGCACATATTTTACTGCTATGTACTTGGAAAGACAGTCATTCCTTTAGTTTTATATACCTTGTAGGGAACAACTTTCACTGCTGGTATATAACTTGTAGGAAGTATATTTCTCCAATAAGAAAACCAGATAGGGAGCAGATTTCTCTATTAGGACATATGATCTCAGGAGCAGATTTATCTATTGAGACATACCATATATGGAGGACATTTCTCTTTTGAAACATATATCGTGTAGGGAGCACATTTCTCTGGTGGGACATACCGGCTTGTACAGAGCACATTTCTCTGGTGGGACATACCTTGTAGGGCGCAGATTTGCAAAACAGGCATGGATCATGGTCAATGAGTCTTGCTTGCTTGGCACGATCAAGAAAGAATACGACCAGCAGAAATTTCTTCAGTGTAAACTGCTTGAGTGCCTCATCGTATCCTAAAAAGGATGAAGATATGTTCTGAACTGTTACAAACAATAAGCAATGGCAGAAAATGCAAAACTAAGAGCAAATGAGAATTGCAACTTAAGAATTGATATCTACAACAACCTCAAAATGTACTTGTTAGCCCAGTAGTGCCCTCAAAATCTAATTACTAACTAACGAATTAAATAGGAGTTGCTGCTTCATAGACTATGTAGTCAATACCCTCCCCTTTACACAACATGTCATTCACACAGTAATAATAATATATAAACTCATATATAACAGTCATTCACACAGTGTTACGTATAGGAACAACAACAAACGATACAATATTATAACATTAGAATAAATAACTAAGGCCAAAACAAAATATATGTGTGGTTACCGTTACATGCCGAAAAAAATAGGGTTAGGGTTAGGGTTTTTTTTTTACTTGAAAATTGACAATTAAATGTTTAGGGTTGCTGGGAATAAATAGGGTCGGTCGGGAAACCGTAACCACACCTATATTTTGTTTTGGCCTAATGGCAACCACACGATAGCATTCTAACGGCGCTCTACGCATGCTCACCTGGTCTGTAGAGGTGCGGCACAGTGGGGTGAGCGTAGCGCATGGCGATGTCTGGGTTGTACAGCAGACGCCAGAGCACGAAACGAGACAGCCGTACGACGTCAGCGTTGTCCTGCATCGGCAGCAGCTCTCCGTAGACACACTCCAGTCCGATGCGAAGCCACAGCGGGCTGTAGCTGAGTAGCATCTCTAGCACGGCACGCTTGATGCCTCCACGCACAAAATGTAAACAACGTCACGATGCACACTTGAAATGAAAACTTTAAAGTCACTCTAATATTCTTCAACTGCTACAACATACACCGACTGATCTCTATAATATAATAACAGGATATCACATTGACTTCCAGAGAAAAAAATATAATTTATTTTTCGGGGGCTATACTTTTCAAGCTCACGTGGATGAAAATAGCACTCTAAAATTTGGTTTGCATTGAACTCTATCCAAATTTACGGGGGCTCTTTTTGGCATTTCCAGGGCTCTTTTTGGCATTTCGGGGGCTAAATCGCCCCGAGCCCCGGTGTATTTTTTTCACTGTTGACTTCTCATTCTTACCCAGGTCAGCGTGCATCGCCTTGTCCTTGCGAATCGCCAGTCGCCCGCTCTCCACCTCGACCTCTAGCTTACAGACGACCTTGACAATGGGTTCGGACTGGAAGAGGGCGCAGGCGGATCGGCGGAGGCGGTTCATGCGTCGGTGGGCCGTGTAGGCGCGCAGTGAGAGGTCCTCGCGTGACGGAGCGAGACGGATGTCCTTCTCACCGCAGCGCCTCGCCTCATTGAACAGCATGCCCGCGTCGACTGTGAAGCACGTACGGAATGTCTGTCAGAGCAAGCGTGTGTCCGTACGTAACACGACGTCGTCGTCGTCATGTAATATGTAACTAGCTACACATCGTGCAACAGACTGCTGCAACAAGGATTTTATATGTATAAATACAGATTGATAGCTAGATAGAAAGATAGATAGATAGCTAGATAGATAGATAGATAAATAGATAGATAGATAGATAGATCTATAGACAGATAATAGAATTAAAGCTGGTCTACAACACCATTGGGAATATCTTTTCGCCCTACCCTTCTTAAGGTCTCCGCCGTCTAGCTCGGCAGGCGGCGTGAGGACAAAGTTTAACCAGCGTGTGAAGCCAAGTTCTTGCTTCTTCATCCAACGCTCATCAAAGTACATGTTCTTGGCTGCAAACGGCATCGGATGGCGCGGCATACCTGCAAACAGACATTGTCAACATCCCTCACATTACGGCATGATATTAACGCTATATAACTGCTTATGCAGTATTGACCCTTCATCAGAGGGTGTCTGCTTCCAGAGGTATACTTAAATACTTATATGTGGATTTACCACACACGTACCAGCTTTGAGGATTATTTCCAAATTTCACAACAATGAAAGCTTGCTGTGGTTGTTCACGCGTAACTATAAAGAGAGTGCAAGGACATAGCCTGTGATGAGCCCTGTACATGCCTCAAACTTACCAGCGTTGGAAGTGTTGACAAGCTTTAAACGGCTCATTGCCACGCCCTTAACGGAATGCTTCCGCATGCTTCCCATCTTAATTTTTCTCGCAGAGTCTGTTAAAAAAGTAATGTTATGCCCACATAAGTGAGAAAAAAACATGTTTTTGGCACAAATTTCCACTCATCTCTCGCGCTAAAAGAAGATAACGCTAGACATTGACTATATTGCTAAACAGTGGATGAGAACATTGCACACTGAAAATTTGAATATATGTCTCATCAACGAAACCAGATTTTCGCTTGACATTTACAATATATTTAGGTTTGGATTCGGAACACTCACTCTGAATGCGCAGCTGCTCGGTCTTCGTCAGTCGCATCGTCTGCTGTGCTGGCTTCTTCTCTTTCCTGCCCCTCTTGCTTTCGTTCCCAGCCTCCTTACTAGGGCTTCGCTTTATCGGTGGTGACCTTTCCCCGACGACCTTGCCTGTGTTTTCTCCAATGAGCGTGTCGGACGGGAAACCGTTAGCATGAAGGTAATTCTGCCGTCTCTCCACCATATCGCCTCTGCTTGGACGTGGGGATTTGACCTTGGGTCGACGCTTCCTGGCCGACAGCGAATCGTCGTTGTCATCGTAGGGAACAAAGAAGAGTGCGTCCGCACTCGGCTCCTCCTTTCTCTCGGTTGCCACGGCGACGACCTCTGTTCCAGGACTCACTTCAAAGCCAGTGCTTGCATTCGTTGTTACTGCCTCCACTACTGCTGCTTGCTCCACGTCAGCCGGCTTCGTATCAAGATCTTCCAGTGCGAGCGGACTATAGAGAGAGCTGTCGGCGTCGGACACCGACGGCTTCACTTCCCTGCCGACGTTGCCAAAGTCGAACGCCGCGGCGGGTCGCGCTTCGCCCGGCCTGCTTACGGAGGTCGACGCCGACTCGTCCTCGTGCACGGCTACGTAAAACGAATCGTCGCGCTTCCGATCGGCGGGCGCCGCGTCCTCCAAGCTGTCTTCGTCTCCGGCGGTCGCCTCACTCACGCACGCTCCCGCTTGCGCACCCGCCGGCTCCCGGAGCTCGTCGGCGCCGTTTCTTGGTAGAAATCCCGCGACGTCACCGAACAGCGGTAAGCGCGAGGCGTCGCGCTGCACTTCACGCTCTGCCGTTTCCAAGGTAACGACACCCGTGACCTCGCTCACGTGAGTGTCCGCAACGCCCGTCGCCGTCGCAATCTGTTGGCCGCGTCGCTCAGCTATTTCGCTCGCCGAAGTGGGCAGCGAATTTTCGCCGGCGTGCGGCCCGGTGGTGGCACCTCTACCGAAACGCCCTTCGACATCCTTGCTCACGGCTGTCTTCTTCGTGAATGTGAACGACCTGCGTCTGTGGCCACCAGAGGTCGCCTCCCGCAGGTCCTCCACCTCGGGATGAACCGGCGCTGCGTGTTTCCCGGGAGTTTCTAACAACGACCCATAGAGGGAGCTGCGCTGCATCGCCTCGACAAAGTCGTCCGTTTCGTCGTAAATGGCCGTCGCTGCATCTCCGTGCACGCCGGCGCCCTCTCTCTCCGCGGCAGTTACCTCGAAGCTCTCGTAGAAATTCTCCGATACGGCACTATCGTAGGAAGCCACGCTCTCCGTGTCACTACCGACGTCTGCTTCTCTGCTCCTCCCTATCGCTACCACAGCAGCGCCACCTACCGATGTTGTGCCAATGCCATCATTCCTGCAGTCTAACGGAGAAGCTGTCGGTTGCCAGTGTCTAGAATGGTCGGGTATTTCGAATGCGGTGCTCGGCACAACGCTCCCATCTGAGCGAGAGGGACGAAATAACTTGCTGAGACGATGATCGCTTACCGTCTCAGCTGTCCCGAGCGTGAACGGCAAGTGACCACCGCCCGACAGCATGTGAGCACCGACCGATGGCTCTGGTGAGTTAACCGACGGCTGGGGTGGGTTGATCGATGGCTGGGGGTGGTTGACCCATGGCTGGGGTTGGTTGACCGACGACTGGGGTGAGTTGACCGATGGCTGGGGGTGGTTGACCGATGGCTGTGGTGGCTTGACCGATGGCTGGGCTTGGTTGAAAGATGCTGCGGTCCCCCTCGAGTCATCGACGCACGGCAGCGTGAGCTCGCGCGGTGGGTCCTTGTTGATGACCATCGTCAGCCGGGGATCATCGATCGTCAGACTCGTGTCCGCCTTACCGAAGACGATCGTCAACCTCGGATCGCCCCGCTGCTCCGCTCCCTCTCTCGTCGCCGCGGCGGCCTCCGCGCGTCCGTCTCCCTTCCTGATGACCATGGTGAGACGCGGGTCGTGGGAGTCGGTGCCGCGTGCAGGGAGCCGAGACGACGGCAGAACCATCGTCAGTCTGAGATCTTCGGCTGCCGGCGGGATCTGGGTCTGCAACACCATCGTGAGTCGCGGATCTTCGGCTGCCGGCGGGATCTGGGTCGGCAACACCATCGTGAGTCGCGGATCTTCGGCTGCCGGCGGGATCTGGGTCGGCAACACCATCGTGAGTCGCGGATCTTCGGCTGCCGGCGAAATCTGGGTCGGCAACACCATCGTGAGTCGCGGATCTTCGGCTGCCGGCGGGATCTGGGTCGGCAACACCATCGTGAGTCGCGGATCTTTCGCTGCCGGCGAATCCAACGTCGGCAGCGTGGCGGGCGGCTGGTCGAACACTCCGCTCTCATCCAGCTCCTGCGAGTAATTGAGGCTGTCCTCAAAGTTCTCCCGCAACTTCGCCATCCGGAAGTCGGAGAACGTGCGAGGCCGGCCCGCGAGCGCCGGCGACTCCGCGCCGGGACTCGCCCCTAGAGAGTGCTTCTTTACGTGCGAATCTGGAAACACCGGCGCCGGCATCGGCGACTGGGCGACGATGGCCGGTGGCTCCTTCAGGCCGACCTCGCTCAGCGGGAAGCAGCCTAGCGATTCAGCCTCGGTCTGGCGACGTGCGTTGGTGACGACGCGCGTGCTCTTTAGATCGTCAAGGACACTGAAGGTCGCCGACTGACGTCCGGTGGTCGGCGTCGAGGCGACGAGCGACGAGGGAAACTCCACGGGATGCCGCAGGTGCGACTCCTCCTCCTTCTCCTCCACTGTGCCATGTGATGAAGGGACGCTCTGCGGGGGAAGGTTTTCTTCTTGGGGAGGCTGGACGCTGTCAGGCGGATGAGCCCGAACTTTGGGCTTGGTGCCGACTTTGTCGGCTCGACTCTCCAATGCATATCTGACAGTGTAACAGCAACACGTTAAACAGGTGAGACGAAATACCAATCGTGAACGATTTGCAAAGATTTTACGACAGATTTTGATGCCCGATACTGGTAGCAGGTGTCAAAAACAGCTGTTGAAGCCATGCCGATATTCGAGAATCCTGCACTCACCGCGTCTTGAAGCTGGGCTGCACAGCATGAGCGTACTTGTCCTCACACAGCATCTGAGCCCAGATCGTTTGTGCGTTCACACCCGCCGCTGTCTTCATCCGCTCCGCCGCCGGGCGCCCACTACGCGCCACCAGACGGGGCTTCACTCGTGACTCTGCATTGCGCTGAAGCTCCGCCAGAGGGCGCTTTGCAAAGCCTTTCTTCGTTCCCTTCTGCAAAGATATGGAAATTTCCCACTGAGCACAAACATTTCATCCTCTAAAAACTTTTCTGATAAAATACCCCCGGGGCTGAGATTTCTACCGGTCTGAACCGGCCATTTTATTTCTTTTCGAGGTCCAGCGTCCTGACTAGCAGGGTTCTCCCCAGAGCCCTTTTGAGTATCGGCGCCGATACGCGGTCATTTCGGCCCGATACACTCCAATTGTTCCGATACTCACTCGAGCAGACCCGATACTCTGTTTTGCTGTGCCAATATCTTGATAAATCTTCCAATAAATGCCTATATTTTGTGATAAATACCATTTTAAATCCCTCCATGCATCGTCGATATCCGCCATTTTTGTTTACTACCGATTGGAGACTTCTGCGCGGGTTCACGCGCAGGTCAATTATGTCACACGCTACGTGATTTAGTTGATCGTTTGGCGGGCTATTTGATAAGACTACACATGATTGGATCATCTCGTTCAGTCATCAGGGATTCAGCAATATGATTGGCTACAAATTTACTATAATCTACTATAATGAACTCGATGACCTCGTAGTACGACGCTGTTTGAATATACTGCTATATTTGTTTGAATTTTTTTTCCTCTCTCTTTCTGACCTTCACCATCAATCAGGATGGATAAATTTATAAAACAATGGAAGTCCAAGAAGGATATCCATACAGAAGAAGACTCAGACTCAGTCTCAGTGCAGCAAGAGACTCAAGCAGAGTCTATAGAGAGTGTACAATACTAATTTAATTGTTATGTTTATATTTATATTATGGCATTATGCAATTATATTGTTACTATTTTATGTCATTTCATGGATCATGAGCAGCACATTTCTCAATAAAGCAGGCATCAGATGGAACTTGTGTTGTTCTACCTGATATTTTTAACTACAGCTTTTTGTTGTAAATATGCACTATTTTTCTGTCAATAAAAACCTGCCAATTCGTGATTTAAACCCCTAAAACCATCTAAATTTTCCTGGGGGGCCATGCCCCCAGACCCCCCTAGCACGCCGTGTCTCGCGCCTACGGCACCCATAGAAGTCAATATATTATGTTATCATTTAAGGCTGAAATAATTTCCTGGCTATATCCCTGGACTAGTTGACTTGAATATTAATTTTCTGCCCATAAACTGTATTATCACGTTTGAGTTGATGATTTATGTTTTGCACAGTACTCATCACATCCATACCTTGAGTTTAGGAGCTCTGTCTTCGCATGTTCCATAAACGACTGCCTGTATGCGGCTGGAACCATCGCACTTGAACACCACCGTCTCTCGCACATTACCTGCCTCTTTTGGCGTCCACGTGATAGGCAGGAATCTATTCATTGCAAAAACACATCCAGTAAAATTAGTATACAATCAAACCTGTGTGAGCAAACACATTCTAAGAAGGAAGACTTTTAGTGTTTCGCTAGATTGGCAGTTATACAGTGAAACCACCTCTATGAAACAGATGTCTGTCTATAAAGAACACTATTGGGGTTTTCCATGAGTGACCCTTATCAATAGGTTTCACTCTAAAATAAGGAACATTGTCCGATCGATTTATACAATCTACTTTACCACTCGCTGAGTTGCGTGTATATGGTCAACATTGTGGTTATCATGCCTACCGTTCCTCCTGTCCCTCAAGAAAGAAGCTCGATTCCTCCATTGTGAAGCCATAACCAGAGGGTTGCTTGGTGACAACCAGCTCCTGTCCATACTCCTGTGGGTTCCTCAGCAGCAGCTCTTGTGTGCGGCTCTTGCCAAGGATGACGGTGCCAAAGCAAACGCGTGGAACCTTCGCAAAGTGGCTCAGCTGCAGCACGGGCGAAAACGCTTCTGCGGACAGCGGGAACGCATTACACTTTGCTTCATGAACTTATTAAGATTTGTTTTGCATCATCTGAGCAACAACCGGATCAATTTTACGTTGGATAGTTACATTACTGCATGGTTCATTAATCATTATGTTATCTAGCTACTATAGCTAGTTACTTTACAGATTTTACTGTGTCTGCATCCCACATGTCACAACATTTAGATTTTATTTTCAAATATAAAATACAAGGTCATGTCCACGTCCTTATGGAACACATTTGTCTCGATTAAAATCAATCATGTGGGTATTATAGCTAATGAGAACTCGATCATAACATAAATTTATACATGCATGACCACTTTTACAATTAAAGGGGGGCTTAAGTCGGGCTTGCGAGCCAACTCGACTGGAAGCAACTGGATTTCGAGCAACTGGAAGCGATCGGCAGTGACTAGTTGCGTCCAATTGCCCACTGTTCTATTCCGAGCAACTAGTGGCGGCCAGTCGCAGGCAGTCGCGTCGCAGTCGACAGACCTAAGCACTGCAGTCGCAGTGAATTGCAGCCAGTTGCTTCCATTCGATTCGGCTCGCAAGCTCGACATAAGCCCCCCTTAAGTATAAAAATACTTACCTGCATTAGGCTGAACTTTGAGTGCAAGTGCTTTTGGTGGTGTCCACTTGGCTCGGACAGGGATAGCACCCTCCATTTAATGTTTTCGGTATGGGTAGATCTAGGTGCTACCCACCCAGGACATAACTTTCCTGGAAGTGCAAAGGAAAGCAGCACAATTCACATTAAATCATACAACACCATAAACATGCCTCACTGACAACTAACAAATGAAGAAGTGGCACTACCAACCCAATCCTAACTCCACCAAAGGCCTATGAGTGTGAAGAAGTGAAGGGCTATAATAATAATAGTTGCATAGCTGATGATGGGGAGTACGTAACATAGAATAGATTGTTTACAGTTTACATTACACCATAATAATATCAGGAGTAGATAATAGGGAATTCCCTATTATCTACTCCTGATAATATGTATATTTATTTTATGAATACTAGCTAGCACTATAGCTTCCATCACTCTGCATTATATATCATGAATAATATAATCCTCATAATATTAATGGAATTTGCAATGCAGTATGAGGGAAGCTACTGACACTGTGCCAGGTAGCTCTATAGTACTATACTAGCCCGCGTACAGTTGCCGCAGGGCTATAGAACATTCTATTACGAATGCTAGGGACCAACCCGCTGACTGGCGCTGCTGCAGCGCCACCAAAAATGGCCGTTTACAGTTCGTAAATAATGTTCGTTCACAAGAAATACTGCAAACAGACCATTTCAACGATAGTTAGGCTCATAGGTTCCATGTCCCCCAGGGTACTGCCGGAACGTACCCTGGTAACTATCTGATATGGTTAGGGTTAGGGTTAGGGTTAGGGTTAGGGAGTAGGCGTAGGCGACTCCCTAGACTCGTTAGTGGCGTAGGCGAGGTACGATCCTGCATATTAGATAGTACCAGCAGAGCATATAAATCACGTTGATTTATATGCTCTGGTACCAGGGTACGTTCCGGCAGTACCCTGGGGGACATAGACCCTCTCAGCGATAGTTAGAGATTAAATTTTAGTAGCTGATATAACTTATTAAGACATATTCATTTCGGATAAGGCAACTAAGGCATTAATTGCCTACCACAGACGTTTTATAGCCGCGAGTAACCGCGGCGTGAATAAGTTGGTCCCTAGCATCCGTAATAGAATGTTCTATAGCCCTGCGGCAACTGTACACGGGCTATACATATATAATA